AACAACACTGAGTTTTGAGAGATAGAAGCCGTGTTGTGCTGTAGCTTGGGCCTTCGTAAAGTTCGTAAAGAAGTCCAGCAACTCTAACTCGGAAGGCAAATACTGAAGAGCAACAACCTGAATGAAGCATCAACACCAATATGCTTGGTGAGCTCATGCTTCACAGGGTCGAGCGCAAAGCTGACAGCACTTGTACGACAATAATGCAGTCAGTGTAGTGACAGACACACCAAACTACTGAAGTAACCACCGGAACCAAGTAACCTCTGTTGTCAAAGGAGCCATAGCTCGCAACTCAGCCTCTGCACTCGAATGGAAAACTGCAGACTGTTTCTTCATAATGAGAGAACCATCAAGGAGAACACAATAAGCAGAAAGTGAACAGCGATTCGAGAGATCACTAGCCCACGTAGCATCCGATATCTGAAGTAGTAAGGAACTAGAGCGAGGAAAGAACAGACTCTGAGAAATCATGCCATGAAGATACTGTTGAACACGAAGAGGGTGACTAGTGAACCAAAGTAGGCACAAAAACAAACTGACTCAAAACATGAACAGGATAGGAGATACCCGAACGAGTGACAGCTAAATCAACAAGAGTCCCAACAAGATGACGATAAAGCGCCGGATTAGACAAGGGGTCACCATGAGAAGCACGGAGGTGAACATTGAGCTCCATGGGAGTCTCAACAGTGCGCTCATCAGTAAGAGCAGCACGAGCAAGATGCTGGGTATACTTTTCTTGGGAAATAAAAAAGGCGTCAGAGGTCGAAGAGACCCCAATCCCAAGAAAGTAGCGAAGAGAGCCAAGATCAGACATAAGAAACTGCTCACTGAGACGTGCCTTAACAAAGTCAATGTACTAGGTCGTCGCCAGTGATGATCATGTCATCAACATATAAAAGAAGAGTCCAACTACGAGGAGAAAGGTAGACAAACAGTCAGGATCATGAGCAGTCAGGATCAATGTACTAGGTTGTCGCCAGTGATGATCATGTCATCAACATATAAAAGAAGAGTCCAACCACGAGGTGAAAGGTGGACAAACAGTCAGGATCATGAGCGCTCGTCAATAAACCAGCGACAGTCACCACAGAGGCGAAACGCTCAAACCAAACACAAGGGACTTGCTTGCCATATAGAGAGCAACGAAGACGGCAGACCATGCCATCAGGAACAAAATACCTAGGTGGCGGCTGCATGTAAACCTCCGCACGCAAGTCACCATTAAGAAAAGCATTCTTAACATCAAGCTGAGATACAGACCAATGATGAATAGAAGCCACAACAAATAAGTGTGCAAACAGTGATCATATGGGCCACATGAGCGAAACTCTCATCGTAATCACGACCATGCTCCTGCAGAAAACCACGAGCCATAAGACAAGCTTTGTAGCACTCAAGAGAACAATTGGAGCGAGTCTTAACCTTGTAGACCCACTTACAAGCGATGAGACGAACATGAGGAAGAGAGAGAAGATCCCACGTGTCGGTCTGCACAAGAGCAGCAATCTCCTCTGCCATCACAAGTTGCCATTCAGGATGAACAAGAGCATCATGATACGAAGTCGGCTTAAGAACAGCAGCGCCAACACTAGAAAAAACAAGGCGGTCAACAGGCGAAAATGGGCAAGCACGTAGCCATAAGTAGGCTGAGACAAGGAAGATGGCACATCAAAAGTAGATTGCGCATCGGTAGAATCATCCACGACATGCGAATGGCGAGTATAATAGTGAGGAGAAGATGGAAGAATACGAGGATGAACCACCACGATAGACTCGGTGATGGAGGCCAGGAAGCCACTGACGAAGGTGCAGAATCCTGTGATAAGTGAGGTAAGGAAACCATAGGAGATGGCGTCGTTGGATCTGCAGCAGTCTGAGAAGTAGTAGTAGTGAGAAGGGTAAACAGGGGCTCCACCGGAGTGATAGGTGTCGGGAAAAGTGAGCAAGGAGATATCCTCCACTGAAAAGGTCGAGGAAGATGGACGCGGGTAGAAGGGGTGAGGCTCATTAAAAGTCACAACCCGAAAAATACGCATCCGACGACCGACGGGATCCAACAATGATAGCCCTTATGCTCATCATTGTATCCTAAGAAGACACACTCGATAGATTGAGCGGTCAGTTTGGTGCATTCGCGGGAGGCGGGAAGAACATAGCAAACACAAACAAAGCGTTGAATAATCAGGAGAACGATCAAAAAGACGCTCGAAAGGAATGCCACCGTGTAGAGCAGCAAACGGCTGAATATAGATGAGACAGGTAGAAGTGGAAACAAGCCCAAAGTTGAGGCAGAAGAGAGGTGGCAATCATCAATGCACGAGCAGTCTTAAGAAGATGACGATGCTTACGCTCAGCCACACCATTCTAAGACGGGCACGATGGACAGGGGACCTTGCCGGAAAGCCCCCGAGACAAATGCCACACATATGAATGCACATAAAGGCAACAAACTAGGTGTACTCCCTCCGTCCCATAATGTAAGACGTTTTTTTTACGCTAGTGTAGTGTCAAAAAACGTCTTACATTATGGGACGGAGGGAGTAGTTAGTATCATAAAAAAAACTGGGCAACAAGGGAGAGCAACAAAGCGGAGGATGAAGACATTGTACCCGTTTTTCTTTCCTTTTCTTTACAACTGAAATCAACTACTCAGGAACCGGCTCTGTTCCAGGACAGCGGAGCACACACCCGATGCAACAAAGAGGAAGTCCGCCAGACGGTGGAAGGAGCACGTGCAGCCGTAAGAGTCAGGTGTCGTTGACTTGCAATCCAAAGCCCACGGGACTGGGTGGACCGGCTAGATCCAGTTGGTCAGATCTGCAGCAACCAGGTCGGGCGGATCAGGCAACTACAAATGCAGCTTTCAAGGCGTTGACCAGAGCAGCCTTCAGGACAAGCGAATCAAGCGGGGTTACGCGGCGGGTAGCGACCAGGGCAAGTGATCTGGCAAGGAGGTTGTTTGACCAGGCGGCGGCAACCTTGACGACTGGATCGAAGAGGTGGCTCATGGATGAAGCATGGACCAGGGCGGAAAAAGACAGCAACCACCAGCCCAAGGAGAGGGGCGGCAGCGCAAGCAGCATCGACCAAGAGGAGCCGAAGACGCAAGAGGGGATCAGCACGACTTGTGCGTGCGAATAAAAATACCTAGGGCTCTAGTACCATGTTAGGAAATATGCAACTTGTATTTCCAGGTGGCCATAGGCCGATATATATACATGTACAGGTGTGATACAATATGCAAAAGGCCCCTTATAGAATGGAGAAAATACAAAGGGCACACGGCTAAATATAAATAACTCTAACAATTATCATATTACTATTTGTAAACATCTGAGATCCTATGCTAGCAGACAAGTTGGTATATATTTCTTCTGATTGCATATTCATGCTAGCAGAGTATCAAAGGCAGAACCAAGAGCAGTGTTCATGATGATCTCGAGTAATGCTTTGTCATGTGAAAGATCTAGGACGGTCGATATATCCTTTCAAAATTGCATCAATGTGGAAACATGGTGGGCACAATGAATATTTATTTAACTTGTCATGTTCTTAATTTCTTGGGTAGTGCTTTGTTTATATATCCAATAGTACTGTGAATTTGATTGTAGACGTACAATTCACTTGATTGAACTGTGTGAAGGTAATTAATTTTCATACAGTTTAGAATCACACAAGATGATGCATCACCCCTCTTTTCATTACGCATGCTCAGGTCGTATATGTAGACTAAGAAAAAAGGTTGTGTGACAACATATGGCGAGGTTATGTGACAACATGGCGAGGTTGTTGCTCTGCATGTGATCGAGATGGTCGATCAGCGTGTGTAGCGGGCACGAAGACCTATTGCAAAAAAAATACCGAGTGGGAAACATGGGGGGAAAATAGCACAAAACGGGACTTTATTAGAGTTAAATGAATAATCAAATATTTGATGAATGACATTTGAAATTACAGGTTTCATGTAAATGGTGGAGTACTACCAAGCTATATATGTACTCCAAAGTAAAGTTGTACTAAAGGAGCGTCAATTAATTTAGATCGGTAGGAGTAACTCTTTTCCATGTTTCCGAGTGGGAAACATGGGGGAAACATGGGGGGGAAATAGCACAAAACGGGACTTTATTAGAGTTAAATGAATAATCAAATATTTGATGAATGACATTTGAAATTACAGGTTTCATGTAAATGGTGGAGTACTACCAAGCTATATATGTACTCCAAAGCTCCATGTTTCCGCTGGAGCACAAGTGGGATTCCGTTACACATTCGCCTTTTTGTATGTACTCCCTCGACGTTCCTTTAGTACTCCCTCCGTCCCAAAATAAGTGTCTCAACTTTGTACTAGCTCTAGTATAAATTTGTACTAAGCTCAAGACACTTATTTTAGGACGGAGGGAGTACAACTTTAGTACAAAGTAAGTTGTACTAAAGGAGCGTCAATTAATTTAGATCGGAAGGAGTAACTCTTTTCCTAGCCTGATTAGGGAATGACTCTAGCAAAAACAAGGCCTTCTATTTTACTCACATGTATGCACAATTCTTTTGGTACAATGCTACTTGTTGTAATCCAAATATGTCATAAATTTACCTGAGAATTTCCCAGAGTAAGGCTCTGTACTTTGAACTTTGAACTCAACCCACAACCAACAAAACAAGCTATTTGTCTATAGTAAACTCACATGACTTGACATCTATTACCTCCGTCCCAAATTACTTGTCTTTGTCTAGATACGGATGTTTTTGTTTGTTTTTCTTTTTTGCGGGGAAAAAAATATCTGTATCTAGACAAAGACAAGTAATTTGGTACGGATGTATCTAACACTAAAACGTTTCTAGAAACATCCGTAGCTAGACAAATCTAAGACAACCTTTTTAGGACGGAGGGAGTACAATTATGTCGAGTTGTTGAACCAATTTGTTGGACTATATAGGTTACCTTCTCCTTGGGAATCTTAATGCAGTTCCTTCTACTCCCTCCGTTCCTAAATATTTGTCTTTCTAGAGATTTCAACAAGTGATATATGTAGCAGTAGTTGTTAGAAAAAGCATTCCTATCTTCTGCTCAAGAAAAGACAATCCATCCGGTTGGGTTAACTTCGGTTTTTCTACAAAATATTGCTAATTACCGGTTCTAAAATAGTTTCATTTCCTGTTGCAGTGTTCAGGGTTATCAAGCAGGGGTTAGCCGTTTGCTTCAAGCTGCTTCAGAGGACATCGCCGCGTGTTTGAGCCATGCCCATGTCTTCCACAATGCATGATTGGTACAGCAGGATGTGCCCTGTTTTGCAGGCGCTTGCTGTCGATTCCTTCCGCTATATAGACTAAGACCATACATGATGCATGGTTTTTGTGAGGCGATGGACATTCTTTTGTATGCAACTAGAAACACTTCAAATGCTATCGTTGTTTGACGGACTTCCCCAGACTGTTGAGTTATGTTAGTTTTAATTGTATTTGATACCACAATTCCACTGAACAAAATCTTTTGGTTTAATCTCTGCAAAGATGGGTTTTATGCTATGGAGAAAGTGAAAAACTACTAGCACCAGCCATAATAAGGTTTTTGTGCATTAATTGAACAAAAGGCAGTATCTGAAAATAAACTTGCCTTATATCTATGCTGGTCTCATCTGGTTGAACACGTGGTGGTGCTGTGTACCCAGGCTTATATTGCTGCAGGGTACCATCAGAGCTTCAAATTAGTAAACAGGGATAGCAAGGGCACCATAAATGTGCACACTGGACAAATCAACGAGTATCCTACCAGAATATAACCATATCTGAAACATTTGAATCCATGAAAACAGCATCGAATTTCTCATTCTCTTAATGATTTCTTATTATCTACCATGGTAATTACCGGCAAAATTTAGGAAATACAGAATAAAAGATGATCTGGAAGAACAACATACGGACACTATATGAGAAAACTAGAAATGGAGCAGTTAAGTACCCCCAGCAAATCTTTTTTTTATTGCATGTCCACCTCATCGAACTTAAGAAAATCGAAGAAGAAAAAATAACTTCGCCCCTCCAGACAACAATCATTCATGGCAGTAATTCCTCCAGGTAGACAATACAGCAACTGCACATACTCATGCATGAGCAAATGAGACAGCATTTCTGGGTGGTGGCACATAAAGGCATAAAGCTCCATGGAGTGAGGCTTTCATGTGAGCATAACATAAGGCACACAACATGAAATGCTAAGTGGTGTCGCAGGGAAATTCTGGTGGAACTACTGTGACGCATGAAGTCAACAGGTCACAACACACGGAAAAAATTTAAGCGGGAAAACTGGGGTTGCCGTTCTGGATTGTGTGTAGATTAACATACTATTCAAAATTTGGATCAATACAAAGATGAAACATGTACAATTGGTGTGAAATGAGAAAAATACTAACCTCATGGCAAATTTCACATGTAATGTCTCCTTTCTCATTGCACCAGCGTTGCACACACGCTCTATGAGCATACTGTACATGAGAAATAGAACTGTCAACTAGATACTGCATAATTTGATAGATCAAACATACAAACATTTATATGATTTACAAGGATGAAAGTAGAACATAGATAGCTCAAGGTAAGGGCACGTACAATGGTTGATAAGATAGTCTTATCTTAAGTTTTGCATGTAATTTAGAGATGACAAAAAAACATGTCTACAATGGGTCATCTCTTAGCCTTATCTTCAATAACTAGTTATTCCTAAAAACATGGTGAGGCATATTATGCTAAGAGATCATCTCTTGTCTTTTCTTAAATAAGAGAAGTCAAGCCTTTTCTTATGGGTTCTCTCTCCTCCACCTCATCATTTATCCTACGTGGCAGTCCTAAGATAGTACCATTGTACATGCCCTAAGTTTTACATATATGATGTGCGTCTCCGCAAGCACAATAGGACAACATGCATACACGATTCATGTAACGGGATTCAGTTGACATACATAAGCAACACAAAAGATAAAGATGTAGGATCAGCAGTTCCAATGTCAATAAATCATCATTACAATAGATCTAAAAAGATTGAACTTGATAAATGACCCATAAACTGAACCAGAAAACACAGGGTTAAATTACTGGTGAGGCAATGATACGAAACAATGAAACATGTGGATGCAAAATCAACCACACAACTCGATGCTGCAAATATGTGAATGATCTGAAAGATCATGAGAACTAACGAAGATGCACTAGGTTGTAGGTATTATTGAGGCCAAGCCAGATAATTTCAGTAGCCTTTAACGCTCCCACTAGAAGAAGATATGCAGCATTAAGACTTAGAATAATTTAAGTGAAACAATCATGCTTTATTCTTGGTGTAGATTGTACGAATTTTGGCCAGCGAAACTATCATATATCTCATTGTCGCATGCTGCTTGGGAAGTTAGCGCCAAGGTAGCATCGGAACGACATAGTGGCAATACAAGCTTTGCATTGTTCGTCTCTTTTTACTCTACATACAGTACAGAAGATGAACATAGCTAGTCCCTTAATGATGTAAAACGGATTTTAAAGCTCCTTTATTCAAAGCCCGACAATGTTATAAACTTCACTGTCATGTAAGTTTCTCCATACAAGATCAAAGTCAGTTCTTTGTTAAGAAATAGATGGCAGGTCATCCAACTTGACCATGGCATGGCGCACCTTAGAGGAACATAAATGACATGACCCAACTGGACATAATTATAGGATGAGTCAAAACTTTTGATACATAGCGTTTTTCCAGTTAGTGTCCTTTAAAGGTGGATCCTTCCACTAAACTATTGCTGCCATATGGAAGAAAAAGAAAATACAAACATGATACTATCCTAAATATACACACAATCGGCTACTGCCTAGTAAATTTGAAACATATCGGAGCATACTTATAAACTATACCACATGTCAAAGGAAATGGCTGACACATGCTGAAATAAAGCACAAAAACTAAGGACCCCCACCATATGTGCAGTGCACAAACAACAAAACGCCTAGCAGTTTTCAGCCTTCCAGGAACATGAGAATCATATGCGAGATTTGAGAATAAGATTGGAGAGGACCCAAACCTTCAGACTGCCGTTGCACGTACACGGCTTCTCGAGATTCTTGATACTGTCCTCTTCCTGGCATATGCGGCACTCTGCAGCCTGGATGAGTGGCTCATCCTCGCCACCATCCTCCGCCATATCAACAACAGCCACCGACACAGCCTCAGATGGCTTCTCAGCAACGCCATCATCCTTGGTGTTCGCAAAACCGTCCACATTCACCACCACATGGTCCCCCATCCAAAACTCCCCTCAACAAATCGAACTCCTGTAACAAATGATCGCAACAATCGCAAGACGTTCAGATACTAGCAGAGACACAGTTGCAGGCCATAAAGCATGTATTGAAGTGACGGAACAGATAACAGTGACCAATATAGGGTGCAGCGGCGGTGATCAGTGCCTAAAAATGGAGAAAACAAGATGCGAATGGTACAGAAATCCCTCTTAAAAATCAACGGGTATACTCAAAATCAGGCAACTAGAGAGCACCATGTAAACCCTATCTCTGGCTGGCGTCTATACTGTTGCATTCTCACCTAACTCTGTCTGCCAAATCCAGGCCCTGACTACCAACCAAGTCCACGCACACCACACGATTCGACACGGCGGTGGAGAGCAATCCGATTTCCGGTGGACTGCACGAAGAAGGAAGGCGAAGGCGCGAGCGAACCGGAGCCCCCGCCAAGAGAGGGGGACATTCGCAGCGGACGGCTCGTCTGCCAGCAGGAGAGGTCGCCGGCTTCCACCAGCCCCCAACCCACACATCCACAACTACAACCACTAAATCAACCGCCGTGGCAGGTGAGGAGGGAGAGATGCCCCACACGCCGAATCGCCACCGGTCCCCCGGTGCAGCCGCAGATTTCGCACCGGAGCTAGAGAAAGGGGGGAAGGGATCGGAGGAGCAGGGCACGCACCTTGCCGGCGGCGGCGGCGTCGTCGAGGATGACCGTTCTCCTCTCTTGGTCCGGTGGGCTGAGTCTAGAGACGTCCTCCTCCTCTCGATGTCCAATTCGTTGGCTTCGGTCTGGTCGTCTAATCAACACGCGATTTCGCTCTCTTGGTTTTGCTGGTTCGCGAGGAAAGGGAAGAAAGAGTCAAGAGAAGGAAGCTGGTGGTAAGAGGGAGTAAAATATAGGAGTACTTAAATAATAAATTGATATTATATTACTATAAAATATTACGACACGATTGGCCGACGCGGTGGTCGAGGAGGGTAGGGACGCGCTCGCAACGGTCAAATATGGCGCGCCCATCGGCTACACGGACATCTCGCCGCCGTCTCGACGTCGGTCGTTATATGTCCGATGCTGATCCCACGTCTTGCTCCGGACCTTCTGGACGGGGCGACCGCTTTGCTGCCTATACTAATGGAAGTAGAAAATTTTCATATGTTCTTAGAGCAACTCCATCGCACCGATTCAAGCGGACGCATATTTTATTATTTTTTATTCGTTTGAGTTGGCTGTCCGCTCACCGTTCGTGTGTAGGACTGATGCATCCAGCCAGCCTACCCAATTCTCGTCCACGTAGAAAACAATTTAAACTTAAAAAGGCCCTCGATAAAAGATCGTGCCATCGCTTAGAGTTGATGCCGGCGGCCAGTACCGGCGGCAGACATACATGCCAAATTCCAAAAAACACCGCACAGTTTAAATTGGCGCACTTGCAAGCGGCGGACACGTATGCCAGCACAAAAAAGATGGGAGTTCAACCACGCCATCTTGGTCTTGGTTATGCCAGCATACAAAAAAGATAGCGCTCTTCACCGTAGATTAATCATCAAGTTTGAGCATGTCGGCCTGCATCTTCTCAAAACAAGGCTTCTTTCTCGGGAACACCGTGTTGTTCACCTTCATGATCTTCACCCCTTTCAACATACAAGTGAGCGCCACTTCTTTTGCTTTGATAGCCTCTATCTCGAGCATCTTGGCTTGCATCTTCGCCTCCATCTCGAGCTTCTTCCTTTGTATCTCCATTTAGGCCTTCATTTGTTCTTCTTTCTCTTGTTGTTGAGTAACGTGATTGTATTAGGAAACATAGGTTAGACTAGGAAATATTCTGGCTTGCCTTGTACTCCAAATAGATCATGTACTCCTATATATATATATCCACGAGGCTCGAGCAATACAACAACTATTCCACAAGTCCCTCTCTCCCTTCTGACATGGTATCTATCGCAAGTCGATCCTAAACCCTAGCCGCCGCCGCTTCGGCACCTGTGCACCGTCCCCGGGGCGGTCGGCCTCCATGACCGCCGCTGGGCGCCGCGCCGCCCTTACCTAGGTTCGTCTGTCGGTCGTGTTGACCGGCTGCCCTAGAGAGTTTCTTTTTGGTTTTTCTCTCTCCCGCCTGTCACCTTGATCGCGCGGTTTCTTTTTGGTTTTTCGATCTATTCTTGATCGGTTTGCGTCGCCCACCGCCGCGGTCGACCCCGAGCGCCTCTACTCCGACCCCGGCGCGGCCCGCCAGCCTCTCCTCCGACCCGGCGGCCAAGCGCGCCGAGGCGGCCCGTCAAGGCCAGCCGTCATCCGCGCTTCGGTCCGCCCGTCGCCCTACGCCGGCCGTCACCGCCCTGCTTCGACTGGGACACCTGCATCACCCCGACCCGGCGGCCACGCGTCATGAGACGGTCAATCATAGTCGTCGCTCGCGCGCTGGCCCGCCCATCGATCCACATCACCCGCCTCTGGCGCGTCTGCACGGCTGCCCGGCGGTCTACCTCGCCGGCCTCGTCCTCGGCTGCGTCAGGCTTGTCAGTTGCCTCAACTCGGGCGCCGCTGCTCCGTTGGTCGCTCGGGCCTCGCTGCCCGGGCGCCGACGTTGCTTTGGCAACCCGGGTGCCGGTGCTGACAAGCTCGTCCGCACAACGTCTCACGTCGTCCGTCGTCGCCAGCTTCATCTCGGACTTCGCCGCCACCACGCCTCCACTGAGTGGCGTCCCCGACCTCACGCGCGATCGGCTTGATCACCCGCTCACCGCTGCGATCCGCCTCATCTACGCCGCGCGACCGACCTAGCCCGTCGGTTACGCACGCCTCCGCAGGTCCCGTGAAGATCATCCCCGAGTTCAGCGCGTCTCTCCACCGGTCGAGCATTGGGCTGCCGCTGCGTTGCCCCGTCGGGCCGCAGCGCCGCCGCCCCGTGGTTCTCCTCGCGGCTGCATCGACCCGTGTGTCGCCCCTGCGTCGCCCCTTCGGGCCGTAGTGTTGCGATACGCGGTCCTCGCCGCCGTCCCGAGGCCGTCCCCGCAGCTGCACCGACTCGCGAACCGTCGTTGCGTCGCCTCTTCGGGCCGCAGCGTTGCGGTCCGCGGTCCCCGCCGTCGCCCCGACCCTCCTGCCGCCGTTGCGTCGCCCCTTCGGTTCGTAGCGCCGCGGTTCGTGATCCACTCCGCCGTCATCGCTCGTCGACCTCCCGTGGTATGCGTCGCGCCGTCTCCCTTGGCGTGGGAACGCCACCGTCCGCGTCGGTCTTTGTCATGCTGTCAGTGTTCTTCGCCTACTTCGAGCACCGTCGCCGCACTCCTAACCTAGCCGCCGCCGCCGCCGTCAGGCCACCGCCGCCACTCTTCTTTGGCCGCCGCCGCCGCTACCTTCGTAGCTGCCGCCGCCTCCCGTCCACCTCCTTCGGTCTTCGTCCAAGCACCAGCCCCTCGCCAACGTCCTCGTCATCTACCCCGACCACTTCGTCTACTCCGACCACCATTGGTGACATCGGCCCCGCGCCGATGGACGCCTCCATCGTCGTCGAGTTCTTCTCTGCTAGCCCCTCCGACTTCTCCGACATGGCGTACAGCTCGTGCAGGTCCCTCGTCTACGCATGCCCGGTGCTGGCAACACCGATGCGTGCCTTCATCCACGACGTGTCCCCGGGCCTAGCAAGCCTGATCGGCGCTTCGTCAACTTCGTCTTCATCCGTCTACGCATGCCCGGTGTTGGCAACACCGATGCGTGCCTTCATCCATGATGTGTCCCCAGGCTTGGCAAACCCGCCGCGACGCGTCGTCAACGCCATCATCCTTTCGGCGCACCACTACCTCGTCACCACTGCGCCCATGACTAACTCGGTGCCCTCTTGCCACTACAAGAAATATGTCAACTTGTGACCACCACTATTGGTCACTGAATGGTCACTGTTTTCCATTTGTGACCTTTTTGTGACCAAAAATAGAAGGTCAAAAGATGGCCGTCGTAAACTGACATTTTTTACCTTTCTTCTGGAATGGTCGTAGACGTTTATGACCAAAATATGTGTACTATGGCGTTTTGGTCACAAGCAACCTCCCCAGACCACGTAGGCATCCAGCGTGGCAAGCTGATGTGGCACAAGAATCAGCCCGGTCCAATTCGGTTTTCTACATGGGCCGAGCCCATTAATTCGGCCTTTGTAATATTTATTTTTCCTATTAATTTTTGCTAGCTACATGGGCTGGCCCAGCAATTCGGCCTTTTTATTTCTAGATGCGGCCTTTTACAGCGTATAATCTTTTATTTTTTGCCATTTTATTTTCCACTGTTTTACATTTGTCCCAAGAGTTTTAGTTTTTCTTTTTCTCAGAAGATTGGTCCCACTTGTCAGTTTCTAGTAACGGGACCCGGTTGTCAGGGTCAAGTTCTTTAGATTTCATTTCATAGTAAATAAGTAACCAATATCTAAATCAGCACTGGCAAAATACACTGCTTGAAATAGTAGCCAGAATGGCAATCACGGTATTACAACGTGAATACATTTTTTTGTGGGTAAACATGGATACATCATACAACACAAATACAATGGCAAGGACAGTATTACAAGCTCTACTGCTTCTATCGACCTTCTTCACCATGGACTTCCTTTAGTCCTTCTATAGCAGACACAAACTCTCCTTCTCCTTTCAACCTTCTTTTGCATGGAGCTACTGTGAGAGGAAATCTACAGTTAAGAACAAAATACGTATATAAGCAGTTGGGTACATACCACTTTGGAAAGAACAAAATACGTATATAAGCAGGTGGGTTTGACAGATTTGATGGGGGAAGGTGGTGCAGACGTCTTCACAATAATGTCTCCAGTTTTGTTCTTGACAATTTAGGCAAAAGGTTAGCAAAATGCTACTGCTGCAGCACACTGAAGCACAAGATTTTTCACTAACAAAAGCATTTACAAACACAGAATTGACACTAAAGAAAGCACGAACTGAACTTTAGCCCTATTGTAATGTATCCAGTAGTAGTCAATTTAGCTTCTGAACTCAA